GGGCTCAATATACATACATGCATACATATATAGTATGTGTCAGGATATTGGCGAGTTTGTCACGCATCATAAAAGGATATCTCGAAGGACGTGTTTATTAGAGCATAAAGTGCGCTCGCTTATTCATTGTGTAGTGCATACTCGTGCATTTATATTCCAGGGCCGGCCGCAGGATTTCTCTTTGGGGGGGTTTTATGTAAAGTCATTTATAACAACCAAGAATATCGTTGTTTTATTTACAGTATTTCGCATATTGTATTTAATTATGCATATAATTCAGCACAACTCAAAGAAAAGTCGCATGCAATTCACCGAGCTATGGATAAAAATTATTTCAATACTTAGTCAACATTAACATCCAAATTGTGATGAATATTGCGAAAAGCTAGCCCATTGTGTGCTCGTTCTCTGTCCATGTCTACACATGCATGATGATATCCATTGAATGATTTTGCAAAACTAAATACGGCAGCGAAGATTATTATGGACCACATAAGGAAAAATTTCTGTAGAAAAAAAGGAGATCTGAATTATCGCTAATTTTTAATGGATTGCACAGCCCAACAAAAATAGAAGAAAAAAAATTTGTTACGACAAATTGTAAAGCTGTTTTTGATAGACCTTTTTGTACTGATTACGAATCCGTAAGTGAATCCATCAGCTCCAGATTTTGAAAAAAAAACGAGCTCAAAGTGTAAAAAAATCGCATTTTATGCAATATTTTGGGAGCTTTAGCAAAGAAACCAAAAGTGATAGAATCTTCCTGGCATAAATTAAAGCTAGAACTCTCGACCACTATCTCTGAAAATACCATTCCTGCACCTTGACTTGATGTTCACTTAGTCATATAAATGTATGTTTTTTATTTATTTTTATGTTTTTTATTTATTTATTTTTTTAGAAAAAATGGGGAACAAGCTGAATAAATTTTTTGAACGTTTATTAAAGGCTTCAAAAATATTGTAATTTACATTGGTTATTGTGGTACACCAACTGTACATTAAATTCTTGTACAATATTATATCTTTCTCATGATTCCAGAAAATTATAAAAATAATAAAATATAAAATTATAAGCACCAGTATCTGACACTACGAACACGAATAAGCCACAATACTCTCTGATGTAATTTCTTAATTTTGTTCGTTTCAAAAAATAAATAATAAGCATTCGAAATCTATAAAAAAATAATTTTTAGGATAAAAACGTGTAATATGCAAATATATCTAGGACTTGACATAAATCGTTTGTTTCATAAAGTGCACGCTATCCTTTCATCGAAAGCGGTCAAAATCCAATGCATACTATAATATCTTTTCAAACTCAATATTTGTTTGAAACTTTTTATATCCTTATTTATTGGCTTCCCTTCACAGAGTTCATTTGTGCTCGAATCGCTATTTTAAATGACTCTCGCTTTTATTTAATAGGTGGGCCCCATTAGCCGCTGAATCCACAATACCCTTCGTTTCCCTAATTGCAAGGAAAACAATGTTGCCACCATTAAGCTATTTCAATAAAAAAGTTTTACGGATATCTTAAATTTTATTTGTTATGGCATTTTAATCATTATATTCAACAATTTTTAACAAGCACGAGGCCGTTTCTTTCTATTGAAAAAATGTTGTCGAAAACAATAGTTCACTGTCACCTCATTTCCTCATTAGACTTCTTCACCGCGGTCACTGGGATATGAACCGTTAGAAGCGGCCTCAAACCCAATAAAAATGTTTGAGATTTTAAAATATTTCTTTACCATCTAACCAAACAATGGCAACAGGGGGGTTTAAACCCCCAAAACCCCACCCTCACCCACATTCCCCCCTTGCGGCCGGGCCTGATATATACATATACTTAAGCGTGGTTTACTAAATGCAATCACTCTGCATTCCTTTAGCGGTGCTTTTGGCTCTGTTTCTGTTTCAATACTTAAGTATATTTACGTCTAAGAGGCACTTTGAGTATGTGAAAAGCTATAAATGTTTGATGTCATCCGTGCATAGAATGTGGGAGAATGTCACGATTTTGTTCATTACTAAGGTACTCAGTGTTTCAATAAATATAAATATATAATCATATACTTAAATGCTCAGGCATGAATATTGCTTCATTGCACTAGCATGACATGTATGTAAATACCTTAATATTTCCACCTAAATTGGCATCACCACATTTTATAAGCCATAAATTTTGCTGGAAGCATAGGGAAACCACAAAATGCGATAGTAAAATTTTGCGAAAAGTGTCATTTTATGTACGTAGTTACATAAAAGTACGTATGCATACATTAAGGAAGGCAATCCCAGAACCCCGGGATGCGGCTGTTTTTGAGGTCACAATAATTTCGGGATTTGCTTACATTAATCCCTGGATCCCGAAAAGTTTGAAGTATCGAATTGATAGTAAGAACTTGTTTATGAATTTTGAAGTATGATTTTTTTAAAATGCCGTTTAGACTGCAAGATTTAAATAAATTTACTGATAGCGTCGCTAATGTAAACAAAAACCGAGAGCTTGAAGGAAAAGTTAGATAATTTTTTGCTTCAATTTACTCAAATAATCCTCAAATCGGGGAAAAAAATATAATTTGTCCGACATGCTGATAGAATAAGTTCAAACAATTTGTAATGGCTGAGATAAGGGTAATTTTCCTCAAATGTTGTTCATCAGTAAGTTTTGTATGTAAAAACTTCAGGTCAAGATTAGAAAGCTCCGCTTTGAATCTTTTGCTGTTCTAGCGAAAAAGACGGCGAAAAATTCGCCATACGCTATTTCTTTATAGAGTAGAATAAACATGTTTAGAGAAATTGCTCTTGTATATTTTTGTTTAATGTTTGTTTTTATTAATCATTAATTTCGTTGTTATTTGTGATGTATACGTTCCTCAATCACATGGTTCTTTATATACATTTTAAAAAATCGTTTACTCTAAAATGTTTCTGATTTAATATATATCGCTAGCTTAGAGTGCAAAGTTGCTCAAGTCTCAATTTAAAAATTGTACAGTGGAGGAACAACTTCTCATAGCCATTTTCTTCAAGTATTTCGCTAAGCTTTGAATAAAACAATTTGTCTGTTTAAACCAAAGAAAAACTCAATACGAATCTGAGAGATTCGATCTTTATTAAAAAGTTTCGAGCTATTTTGGCCTTATCAAATTTTCGGAGCTTTTTGGACTTTGGAAATTTTCCTTTCATTGAATATAAACGAGAAAACATAAAACAGGGACTTTTACCCTTTTCAAAATGATGCATTTTTAATTTATTTAGCCTGCTGCATCAAAATATGATTTTTCATAAAAAGTGAAGTTAGCAACTTTTCACTCTAAGCTATATGTGAGTTTTACAATCAGTTTACCCAGTGGTGCAGTAGTTCCTCAATAGTTAGGCTAGCAAGCATTCTGATAGGAGAAACTTCTGTTCCACATGTCGATCCCATAACATTTTATATATTGTTGCAATGCTTAGAAAATAAGCTATCGAAATGAGCTATTGTTTTGCAAAATTTGTGCAAAAAAAATATTCTTATAAAAAAATTATTGTCATTATCGGAAATCGCGGGAAAAATCCTATGAAGTCACTTACTTTGGATACTCAATTGTAAGTTAGACGTAAGCTACGAATTTTAAGAAAACTCGTGATTATAAGAAAAAGTGCAAAAACGTAAAAATTCTAACTCTCATAACTTCAAAAGAAAAAAAAGACAAAGAAAAATCATTTATAACATTGATTACTTGCATCAATGACAACAATTTAGTAAAGTTTCAACGAAATCGGTGACATAAATTTTTTTACCTGGTACACTTGGCGAATTTTGCCCCGTATATAGCTCACATTTCAAAACTCCTTTCGCACGCCACGCGATTGGTACGCGAAATTAGTCCCACGTAAGCAAATCAGTGCTAGCCGTAAACAAACTCTACTCATTTGAAAATCTTTAATTTGATTTGTTTTCATTCATGCTCATTTGTTGCTATTGTCGTTTTTTGGCGCTAATGAACTGCATATCGACGTTTCATCGTCCATGTTATAATTAAATTTGAAACTTTCCATTTCCATGGTGACAACACAAAAAGCAATATCATTTAGAAGTTCGGCTTACAGGAAAAAAGCAACTGCGGCGGAAAGGAAAAGAGAAAGGTTAACGGAAGTTTGTTTTCCATAATAACATAAATATAATGTCCTTTTATCAGATTTCTAACTAATTTTAAACTTCTATTCATTTAAGAGAATTTTGTTAGTTAATTTAGAGCAAATGGCGGTTTTCACATAGCTTCTGTTCTTCTATTAAATAAATTAGATATACGCGAACTCTTCTGGAAGTAAATTTTTAAATAATAAGATAAAAAAACCTTTGAAATACAAGAAAAAGTAGTCAAATAACAACTTAAATAGAAAAACTTAAGTCAAACTGTCACTGAAAAATCCTTTTGCGTAGCTCAGTTTTGTTGTAAAATATTTCAAGAGATAAGAAAGAAAGTAGTCAGCCAAGCGATGAAAAACATCGCTCTGGCCAGCATTGTTTAATCCTTAAGGATGTCTGACGCTCGCATGCGTATAGACTCCTTGCCGGCATTTGTGCCGCGCTTAACATTACACGTCATGCCTCTAATTACCTCCATTTGGCTAGTTCGTAAGAAATTTAAAAAAAAAATCCAGCCAAGTCTTCTTGTCCTCTTTTTTATTTATCTCTTTGCACATCTTTTAAATACTCTCTTCCCACTCTTCCTTGAATTTTCCACTTGTGCTTTTGCTGCGCGCCGCCAACTGCCTGCCTTCAGGTAATTTGTAGCGCTAATTACTCGTTATTTGTTTCACGACTCCTCCGGTTATTTGTCTTTTAAAATGGTTTGCAAATAATTTGAAATTTTTCTCGCTACATTTCTTTCGCTTCGCTCAGGTAAATCTCTTCATCTGCATCTCTTTGGTATCTTTTTTCGCAATTAAGTTAGAATTTCAGCCTTTTAATGTACTTCTTCTTTGTCTGTTTTTTCTTTGCAGGACCTCCCATAATTTCCGAATCCCTCCAGGGCACATTGGGTCAATTGCCCTGCAATGTGACGCCGCCCATTCTGGACGATCGCGTTGCACTTGTAATTTGGTTTAAAGTGGGTCTGAAGACGCCTATATACAGGTGAGTGAATATAATCTATTTTTGTTTCTATTTGATGGAAAAGAAAATACAATAAAATAGGCCAAAGCAACTTTTCCAGCCTGCAGAATTTTATTTTTGTGCAGCGCCTCGCAACTTGTCATGAGCATTCATGTATACTATAATTAGGTACATATGTACTGTGTGCAAGTGTAAATTGTTTTGTTATTTTAAGTAGATATTGGGCACAGTTTAAAAATAGCAAAATATAATCAGTGGAAGTTATTATTGTTGTTTCGAAGATTACCATCTGGCAATCTATCCTCATCAGCCTTCGTCAGAATTCGAGCCCACGTTACTTGCTGTTGTTGGTTATCCTTACCCATTTAAACATACATACCTACTACCTTACTTTAGCTGCTGTTGAACGATAACGGATCGCGCCCCTCGTGTCGGTTGGGCGAGAAAGGAGGGTAAAACCGTTGGGATTAATAATTCGAACTAATTAATTTGGTTATATGATATGATATGACATGATATTATTCTAAAAACTAGTATTGCCAAGGTGGGCAAGGAAGGGATCTTGGGCGTCACTGTCGGAAAATTCAGCCTCTGCGACGAAGCGTCCGATAACGAACTGAAGCTGATCGACGTCGCCGAGCCCGACACATGATATTATGTAGTTTTAGATGCCAGTGCAAAAAGATACATCAAACTACGAGGAACAAATCGACCATGCGTTACAGTGTTTTAGATGTTCGTACGCTCTGGGGCCAAACATCGACTCGGATCAGCAAAGAATGTGCGCCCAACAATGCAAGGAAAGCTTAACGTCGAAAAGCTGCAATCACAACCGGCAACCAATTTATTCACCACTCGGCCCTGTTTTGCTTTAAATGCGAAACTATTAATTAAAAAACGAATGGCGCTGTTTTGCAATGACTTAAAAATGCCGAATACGTAAACTTAATATTGGGTCGTAGATTATGGATCTGTATACAGTTTTACCAGATCAGGCCCTCAAGATATTTTAATTTTTACGAAAAAATGCAATCTTTGACAATGAAATATTGAACAATATTTTGTGCTTTCTTTCAATCTCATTTATTTTAAGTTTGCATTGCGAATAAAATTTATATTCAAGCTTGAACATGGAAATATTACCCATTCGCCATGTACGAGTATGCACCGGTACGGCCATGTACGGTATGGCGTATGAGTAACATTATTTCCTACTCCTATATCGATTTTTATGTTAGTAGCTTGATTTTTTTGCAAACGAACAGGTTTTAATACAAAAAATACAAACTATTTATTTCCGTATTTCGGGTTTTTTTTTGGGTCATTTCAAAACTTCCCAATTAGTATACAAGTATAATAGAATGATGACTATTATAACAGCGCGATTCTGTGCACTGGATAAATTAAAAATCTTTATAATGCGTCAATTTTTATTATTTATCAATCATTGGTATTCTAGCACAGAAATCAAAAGCTCTTTTGATAAATTATCAAGATTGAAAATGCTATTGACAAGCGTTTACAAATTTAAATTTCATGTGAAAATTATAAACTTTCTGTACTAAAAAATTTTTATCTATCATTTAAATACTGAATGTGCCGGCATTTGAAGCTGCGACTCACATAATTTATAGCCAATATCTCTACCTGCTTACGGCAGTCAAAAGCTTTTTAACCGACTTCCAAAAAAGGAGGAAGTTCGCCGGAATATTATTTTTTTTTGTATTATGTATGTTACCGCATAACTTTGGACCACGTCAACCGATTTCGATAATTTTTTTCGGAAAGGTAGTGTCTCAGAGGTGGTCCCGTACTAATCTCGTTAAGATCCGATCAGTGGACCATGAGATATATATATATATATATATTTTTTTTTATATGAGAGTTGAAGTCGGTTTTTTTTTTGCTAAAAATTACTTGTTTGCTTTTAAATTCATATTTTTAAGATGTGACAATGAAATCAGTTCCAGTCATGTGGAAATCAGTTCCCCTCTTGTGGAAATCGTAGAGCTGTTTATTTTATAAATATTGACACAGAAAGCGAAGGGAGGTTTTACTTAATAAAAATCTTGATAAAATTTCTTTACAAAAAATGTATCAAGAAAACACAGAAGTGGGTGGTAAATCTCTCAATCATGAAAAATATTATATAACAACAAAGCTCCTCCTATGACCGTAAATTAAAAATGGCGTTTATTTTATATCAAACTTCTTCCAAACTTCTGAAAACTGGGGGTTATTAGAAAAGTGGGCTTGGCGTTTTCTTTGCAAGCTAAACTTTTCTAACTGCCTATTTCTGGAAGTGTTTATGGTAGAACACTGGAACTTCCTATTATTTGTACAGAAATTTTATCAAAATTTGTATCAAGTAAAAGCTCCCATCACGTTCTGTGTCCGACAAAAGCCGACAATAGGTGTAACCGGTAATTGGCTTTTTGATAAGCACGTTTCGAGGTTAAGCATATTCTCCCATGAATATTGCAGAAGTTGCAGAGATGAAGAAGAGGGAGAAACAGTTGAGCACTTCTTCTGTAACTGCCCAGCTTTAGCTAAGAGCAGGGCGGGCTTTCTAGGTAGGCTTTATTTTCAGCCCTCTCACGGAGCTATCCGGTGTAGGAATAAAACCAATCCTACGCTACAAAAGAGCTTCAAAATGGTTCTATGCAGAATAATCACTGAGGTTCACGTATTTCACAGTAGTATCACAATGAACCTGCAAGCTCTAAGTGAGTAAGTCATTGGACCGATTGCCACATCAACCTAATCTAACCTAAGGAACAAACACAGAATTTTCCTCTTCAACTAACTCTTCAGAATTATCGGTGTCACTGTATGGGACAAGTGCGTCTCTAGTTAAGCTCCATACACCTTTATTATATTTTCATCCTTTTGATTAAAAATTTTAATCAAATAGTCCATATTTGGAAGAAAAATAGAGGCACCTCAAATCTTTCACACAAAAGTGTAGCAATTTTTTTATGGAGAAAAACGCTTATCGTCACTGCGTGCACAAAAAAATGTAAACAGAGTACAATAGGGCATTTAAGCCTATAACTTGTTAACGATACTTCGTAGGACTTTGAAATTTTGACAGCTGGTGCGTGTGCTGGTAGGAAATGGATTTTTGTCAAAAAATAAAATCGAACCTTTTGTCGCTTATGCCCTTTTGGCGGTTAGGGCTCGATTTATACAAAAATTATGCCGTTCACATGAAATTTGTCAAAACCATATTCATTCTTGATAATTCATCAAGAAAAGAGCTTTTGTTTTCTGTGCTAAAATACTAATTCTGGATAAATAATGAAAAATTTAGATGTTACAAAGATTTTTAATTTATCAAGTGCACGGAAACGGTCTGTAAGACTTTCTTACTACATATTTCTGAAATAATTTGGGGCAGAATATTGTAAGTACAAAACAAATCCTATATTCATAGAGAAAAGTCTGAGGTGTGCAGAGAGAAGAAGGGGCGTGGTCTTTTCAATGCAATTGAAATTTTTAAACAGCGTATGTCTGGAAGCGATTGAGGTAAGGTACTCAATTGTTTGTGGATATTTATGTTAGTAATACCGAACTGGTAGCAGGAAAATGAGCTAATGAAAAAGGTACGACGTCCACCTGTCACACATATATACTAAAATTCTCATGAAGTATACCTATAGAAGAATTTAGCTAGGTACGATATTTTTTCAATTTCGAGTTTCTGAATTAAAGTTTGAAATATTAAAAAACGGTCGTGACACCTAACAGAAAGTTGCGTGTTCTTATAGTTCCAGGGATAATCATTTTATGTTAAACTTAGAGGGATAAATATATACAACAAGCCTCTACCGTGTAGATGTAATTTTGTAACTAAATAAACAGCTTTGATAAAGAGATGGGAAATAAAATATTACAACCTGATTTAGTTTGGATTGAAATTAAAAGAAAGTTGCATCGACTTCTATTTTGGTATCGTTATCACTCATTTGGCGTGGCATGCTACTTGAAATATTTAACTTAGACTGGGTATCAAGTAATTGGGTGCGTGCCTTTTGGTGTTGGGTTTTCAAATAATGTACACAAATTAAACGTCAAAAGTCTCTAACGATTCCAACTCTGTTCGATATTTAACCTGACAGCCTAAGTCACTCGAATACCTGGCCGTAGTCCAGTCCAAATATATATTGCATTCTTATAATGGCAATTGCAAATATTTGTTCGCCCCCCAGTCTAATGGACATACATACATATGTACTATTGTGAGCCAGCAAACAAGTTGAAACCTTTACGGACGTGCCACACATTATCATAGGTGTTGTTGCAAACAATGTTATCTGAAATAATAGAAAAATTAAGTAATTCATATTTAATAAAGCAGAAGCAAAGCAGACTGAAATTTCACAGTGAAGAAGAACAATTAGAAATGTATGAAAAAAACTTTAACTTTATCTAAAAACTACTAAGCATATATAGTTACATAGATATACTCCCAGAACAATTTTACACAACACTCTGCAGCTTTCCTTGCCTATTCGTACATTGCACGTATGGTGAGTGCCGTTTGGTCGGAAGAATGAAAACTTTAATTAAAAATTTTTGGCAACATGTGCGCATACATCAACGAAACAAAACAAAACACTATAAGGAAAACGAAGCAAAAATAATAGCAAAACGAAAATGCCAACAACTACATTAACTAGGAAAATTCGCAATAAGATGAAAGTAGTTAGAGTAGGAGAGTGGAGAGTAGTAGGAGAGTTCACAGCTGTTGATTTTACTTCATGCTGTTGCCAAAATAAGAGAACTATTCATATTTCTGCGTTGGAAATTAATGTCAAAATGATACCAATCACTTGTTCAAACTATTTCCTGCACAATAAATTTACTTAAGATTCAAAGGTTTCATTTTTTACACTGGCTTTGTAGAAAATATTCGAAGAATTTACGTTTTGGCGTGTCTTTACATTTAACTCTTGTTACGACTATAAAAAAACAAATGGAATGAAAACCCATTAAACGATTCAAATTATTTTAAACTA